ATCCACAAGCGTAGCCATCTACACAAGTACCGTTTTGCAGGAATTGGTTGCCGCCTTACGTGAAGGGAACTTTCTCCTCTTTAAGTGCATCAGGTGTAGTCATGCACAGTAGAGCGTAGCCTTTCTTCTCTTTCTCAGTGTTCCGGAAGTTGCCTGCTCCGGGGCTGGAAGTTGCAGGTTGAGTGCAGGTAACGACTCGGCAGTCAGCAGCGGCATCGTTTGAAGGGTTGTACAGGGCAATAAAGGAAACGTTCTGCTGTTTGTCGTAAAGATCCGTTTCTTCAGTCTTCGCCGGAGGGATTGTAGTGAAGTTGCTGGCGGCGTCCTTCCAGTGGCTCACTGCGGCGGCGCAGTCAGGCGTCTCTGATTCCAAGGCCATGAAGGCGTACGTGCCACTTTTAAATTCGCTTGAAGCGGGGCTCTCTTCCGGTTCTTGTGAGTCGTCCTGAAATGAAGCATGCACAGATATATGAAGAAATGAGACAGCATGTAGTAGGGAGAGGAGGAGATGACGCGATGAAGGACACTTACTTCTATCAGGGCTTTACAAACAGGATCCCACGCATTGGTTTGCTGTTTCGTTTCCTCACTGCCAGTTTTAGGCCACGCTAGGTCTTCACTGTTGCCCGTTACAAAGCGTGCCAGCCCGGCGGCTTCGCGTGCATCGTTGATTTCGTCGAGGCACACAGCAGTTTGCCCTGCAGAACAGAGAACGCCGCAGACACTATAAGCCCAAATGTGCAAGTATTGATGTTTCAAGAAGTGTGTTGGAGCAATTTAATGCCCTTGCCAGGGTTTCTTCGGTTCCGAGCGCCACAGAAACACCAACACAACTCATCCTCGCAAACGCAGTTACTTTGCGCCACCACAAGGCTGAAATTCTTCCCACCAAACAAGTATTTGCCGGCATACCAAGATTTACAGTGTATGTTGATGTTACTTCTCTCGTTGTCAATGGAGTTTGCTTCTCGGTTTGATGGACAGCGTTTGCCATCACGAGCGCAGACGCAGAGGCGAGCGAAAAAAGTTTAAGGGCCGCCATGTTTTCAGTGTTGGAGTC